TTCATATGCACAGTGGACATGTATTTTTTGCTATGAAATATGCAATGTTCCCCTACTTCTTCCTGCTTACATCTCGAATATCTGTCGGTAGACTACATTCTGCGTGTACGCTCCGTCGTCTTCCACGTGCTTTGGATACTCGATCATCACCTTGAGTCTCGACCGCGCCGTCACTCTCGACAGTACCACATACAGCTGTCCGAGGGAAAAGCAAGGACTTGACAGATACAACCCCATATTCTGCACCGTTTGTCCTTGGGCCTTGTTGATCGTCATGGCAAACGCTGGTTGCACCGGAAACTGCTTACGGCGTAGACGGAAAGGGAACTCACGCGTGTCCCCATCACTAAGGAACACAATCCGCGGAATGAACACATCTTGGCCATGGCGCTCATGATAGTCGCGTGGATCACATGCGGTTTCAGCTCAACAACACGAAGGCACGTTCCGTTGCACAGTCCTAGGTTGGGGTTATAGTTCCACATCATCATGATCGGAGCACCATTCTGTGGCGTCTAGTTTCTGCATTTAATCCGGACCCGTGACCATTGACGGGCGGAAGTCTTCGTAGTTCGCAAGAGCGTCGCGGTGGCGGGTGGTTCGACGGCGTTCACGAACGCGCTCGCGTTCTTCTTCACGTTCTTCCTCCGTTTGGAGCACCCTTCTAACCGCTTGCCGCTCTCGGTCGGCGTCACGCTATACGTGACGCTCGTCGTCAGTCTACTGGGAGCGTCGCGTAGCCTGCACCACAGCATTCGCTTCACGCTCCTCCTTACGTTCGTCCTCGGTCTGCTGGGAGCGACGAAGAGCTCGGGCTTCAGTGATTATTTGACGACCGCTGTCTCGATCCTGCTGGGAAAGTTGGGAGCGTCGTGTTGCTTGCCGTTCACTGTCGATTACAAGGTTAGCTTCACCGTGAAGGTCCCTTCGGATTTGCTGCGCAATTCGGTTCCTTTCACGGTCAGCCTCAACTTCTTCTGCTCTTCTCTGGGCCCTTCGTAGCCGCTGTCTTTCTGCATTTTTTTGTCGAGTGCGCTCGCGTTGGGAAGAGGTCATATTTGCTCGGCGCAATCGGGCTCTCTCTGCGTCACTCATCCTTATCGCCCCAGCACTGGATGTGCTCAGTGTTGGAGCCGCCCCAGGAGCGACTGCAATTGTCACCGGCACGTGCTGTCTTTCTGAAAACGAACCGTTTTTCACCTGCTGGCTTAA